TTCTTTTCACCAAAGTAAGATAATAGTCTGACTCTTTTTCGGCTTGCTCATGATCCCGGCCAATTACTTGAGTTTTAAATCTTTGTTAAGGTAAGAGTCTGCTTCCAATGTGGAGAATGCACTGTCCCAAGCTTTGTGGGTTTATATAGCTGTTTTCAGAGATGCTTGTAGGGACCCATAAATTTTCAATTCTTGCAAGGTGGTATGATAAGGGGTGAGGTGTTTTCTCCTTTCTTGGCCTGTGCTGTGACCACAAGCACTGCTTTCTGCTCTGGAACTGTGAGGAAGGTTTCCTGTCCACAGCCACTATGCCAGAGCTCCTCCTCATCCCAGGACCCTCGTCCAGAACTGTGATCCAGATCCAAACATGGGCAAAGCAACAGATTCCTGCCTCAGCACCAGCAGAGAGATCCCTGCAATCCCGCTCTGATCAGCTACTCGATTCCCCCTCAGTTTGTGGGCCAGAAGCTTGGGAAGCAGCTGCCCACCCCAGGCCCAAGCTCTTGGGGAATGGAGCTGAGACCCCACTTTCCTCTCTCAGCACTGCAGAAACAGACTTTTCCCACTGACCTTCTAAGTTGTCTTTGGCATACATGGATTGAGGGGGGGTCTGGAAACTGCCACAGCTGGCCACAATTAGTCCTCTGAGGCTTGCTCCAGGTTTGCTGAGGCTTCTGTGTCCATGCTGTGCTGCACTCTGCTCCTAGCCCAGTGAGATATACCTTTCTGATCAGTCATCCAGGTTGTCTTGGGCTGGAAATTTTTTTCACTCTATCTTTTTCTGGGTTCAGCTGCCTTAGAATATGTTTAGAGCCATTTTTATAGGTATTTGGAGGGGTTTTGGGGAGAGCTCAAGCAAGTTGCTGCTTTCACTCTGCCATCTTTGCTCCACCCCCCCAACTTCAAAAATCTTAAGAACTCTGAACAATGCAATGACAAAACATGTTTTCAGAGGACTGCTGATGAAATATTGAATCCAATTCTTTATTGAAAAGTAATGGACACAAGAGCAGATGTATATATTTGTGAGCATGACTATTACCTGGATTCATTTTCCTGAACCTCATTCCTTTTTTTTTTAATGGGGGGAGGGACTGGGATATAGGCAAGGGTAGTAAAAATAGTAATGTTAAAAAAGTGTACATTCATACATTTTTTTAAAGGTGTAGAAGAGAACAAGAGAATGTCCAGAAGGAGGAACATGCATCAGGGCAGTTTTGCAAGTAACAGAGGGAAGTTTTACAAATACATGTGTGTGTCTGTGTGAGTGTGTGTGTGTATGTATGTATGTATGTATGTATGTGTGTATATGTGTGTGTGCATGTGTGTGCATATATATAATATATATATATATATGTATATATATATATATATATATATATATATATATGTTTTTTTACATATTTAAAGGAGCAAAAAGTAAGAAATGGAAATACACATACTCATTTACAACATTCTTATTGTGCTCTTTTGGGCTACAAAAATGCTTTCATTTTGATGTCTGGTTATGTATCTAGGTTTAATATAATTAGAAAAATAAAAAGAATCTTTTTGTTTGTTTCTCTAGTCTGAGACAAACAAACGAATTCAACTGGGCACAATAACTTCTACCCACTGACCACACAGAAAGTATTTTTTATTTTATTTTAGGGTAATGAAGGGATGTGCTAATGTCCCTTTAAAAAAATTATTTATTTTTAGTTTTCAATATTCACTTCCACAAGATTTTGAGTCCCAAATTTTCTCCCCATCTTGTCCTTTCCCCCACCCCAAGAGGGCATGCATTATGAATACCTTTTCCCTTAATCTTCCCTCCCTTCTATCTCTTCCCCCTTTGTTTATTCCCTTCCCCTTCTATTTTTCTATAGGGCAGGATATATTTCTATACCCCATTGCCTATATATCTTATTTCCCAGTTGCATGTGAAAACAATTTTTAACATTTGTTTTTAAAACTTTGGGTTCCAAATTCTCTCCCTTCCTTCCTCCCCACCCACCCTCATTGAGAAAACAAGCAACTCGATACAGGTTATACATGCATAGTCATGCAAAACATAGCAATCATGTTGTGAAAAACTAACTATATTTCGCTTCATCTTATCCCACACACCGTTTATTCTATTCTCTTTTTTAACCTTTTCCTCCTCTGTAGTGTTTGCTTCTGATTACCCCTTCCCCCAATCTGCCCTCTTTTCAATCATCCCCGCCTCTGTTATCCCCTTCCCTTCTATTTTCTTGTAGGGTAAGATACATTTCCATACCCAATTGAGTGTGTATGTTATTCCCTCCTTAAGCCAAATCTGAAGAGAATAAGATTCACTCATTCCCTCTAACCTTTCCCCATTTCTCCTCCACTGTAAAAGCCTTTTCGTATATGTTTTGTGTGAGATAATTTGCCCCATTCTACCTTTCCACTTCTCTTTCTCTCAGTATAATCCTCTCTCACACCTGAATTTTATTCTCCAGATATCACCCCTTCATCTTCAACTCATCCTGTGCCCTCTATATGTCTGTCTGTCTATCTGTCTATCTATCTATCTATCTATCTATCTATCTATCTATCTATCTATCTATATCTATCTCTATATAATTTTTTCCCCTCCAACTATCCTAATACTGACAAATGTCTCATAAGTTATAAATATCATCTTTCTGTGCAGGAATGTTAACAGTTCAACCTCAACAAGTCTCTTATGATTTCTCTTTGTGGTTTACCTCTTCATGCATTTCTTGGGTCTTATGTTTGAAAGTCAAATTTTCTATCCAGCTCTGGGCTTTTCATCAAGAATGCTTGAAAGTCCTCTATTTCACTGAATGACCATTTCCCCCCCTGAAGGATTATACTCTGTTTTGCTGGGTAGGTGATTCTTGGCTGTAATCCCATCTCCTTTGAATGCTGGAATATCATATTCCAAGCCCTCCAGTCCCTTAAGGTAGAGGCTGCTAAATCTTGTGTTATCTTGATTGTGTTTTCACAATATTTGAATTGTTTCTTTCTGGCAGCTTGCAATATTTTCTCCTTGACCTGGGAACTCTGGAATTTGGCTTCAGTATTCCTAGGTGTTTTCCTTTGGGAATCTCTTTCAGGAGGTGACTGGTGGATTCTTTCCATGTCTATTTTACCCTCCAGTTCTGGAATATCATGGCAGTTTTCCTTGATAATTTCTTGAAAGATGATGCTAAGCTTTTTTTTTTTTTTGATCATGGCTTTCAGATAGTCCAATAATTTTAAAATTATCTCCCCTGCATCTATTTTCCAGGTCAGTTGTTTTTCTAATGAGATATCTCACATTATCTTCTTTTTTTCATTCTTTTGGTTTTGTTTTATAATGTCTTGATTTCTCAAAAAAGTCACTAGCTTCCATTTGCTCCATTCTAATTTTTAAGGAAGTATTTTCTTCAGCAAGCTTTTGGACTTCTTTTCTCATTTGGCCAATTCTGCTTTTTAAGTCATTCTTCTGCTCATTGGCTTTTTGGGCCTCTTTTGCCATTTGGGTTAGGCTATTTTTTGAGGTGTTATTTTCTTCTGTATTTTTGGGGGTGTTCTTTAGCAATCTGTCGACTTGTTTTCTCATGATTTTCTTGCATCACTCTCATTTCTTTTCCCAGTTTTTCCTCTACTTCTCTTACTTGTTCTCAAAATCCCTTTTGAGCTCTTTCATGGTCTGAGACTGATTCATATTTTTCTTGGAGGCTTTAGATGTAGGACCTTTGATTTTGTTGCCTTCTTCTGGTTGTATGTTTTGATCTTCTTTGTCACCAAAGGAAGATTCCATGGTCTGACTTTTTTTTTTTTGCAGAGTTTGCTTATGTTCTAAGCTAATTACTTGAGTTTTAAACTATTTGTTAAGGTAGGGGTCTGCTTCCAGTGTGGAGAATGTACTGTCCCAAGCTTCAGGGGTTTTGTGCAGCTGTTTTCAGAGATACTTCCATGAACGTATAAATTTTCAGTTCTTCCAAGGTGGTATGATAAGGGGTGAGATGGTCACTCCTTTCCTAGCCTGAGCTCTAGTCTATGAATGACGACAAGCACCCTTTCCTGGCTTGGAACTGTGAGGAGGATTCCTTCTCTACCACCACTATAAGCTCTACCAAGCCAGCGCTCCTGCTCGCCCCAGGACTGCCACCCAGAACTGTGACACAGATCTGAGCAAGGGCAAAGCAAGAGATTCCTGCCACAGCACCAGCATAGAGATCACTGCAATCCCCCTGTGATTAGCCTACTTGACTTCCCCCTCTGTCTATGAGCCAAATACTCCAGAAGCAGCCACTACCCCAAGGCTGCACTGGGACTGGGGCTGAGATCAAGCTTCTCTTTCACCATGGCCACAAACCGTTCCTACTGACCTTCTAAGTTGTCTTTGGTATTTGTGGTTGAGAAGTCTGGAAACCACCACAGCTGCCCATGATTCAGTCCCCTAAGGCCTGCTCTAGGTTTGCTGAGGCCTGGTCTTTGCCTACACACCCATTCTGAAGTGTGACTCTCTTCTAGCCTGACACAATAGACCTTTCCAATCAACCATCCAGATTGTCTTGGGCTGGAAATTTGTTTCATTCTGTCTTTTGGTTCTGCTTCTCTACAATACATTTAGAGCCATTTTTTACAGGTGTTTGGAAGGGTTTTGGGGAGAGCTTAAGGAAGTTACTGCTTTTACTCTGGCATCTTAGACAGGAAAATATTTTCACAAGAGCAAGGGTAGACTTGGGGGCTCTCTTCATCATGTGTGGCCCATCATTCCTTGGCCCCTCCTTAAATTCTTCATTTAGCCTATATTCCAAGAGACTCCTAGTTTGGGGTGAGCCAGGAGTGAGCCTAGACCATCTCTACTCTTGTCTCTTGACATTTTCCCCCTTGATGATCTCATCAGCTCCCATGGGTAGTCATCATCTCTCTATAGATGACTTCCCTCTCTAAGTAGCCAGTGAATAGTAAGCCTCTTGGACATCTCAAACTAAATATCTCATTGGCCTCCCAAATTCAAAATGAAGACTCACACCAAGTATCAATCATACATTTATTAAATGTCAAGTCCTTACCAGTTACTGGGCTAGTCTGTAAGATACAAAGACATAAAATACAACAATTCCTGCTCTCATTCTTGAAAATTATCTAGGAAAAAACAACATATAATATAATTAAGGAATAAAAACAGCTGATATGGATTGGTTTGGGAGTCCTCATGTAGATTTTTGTCACATGCAAGTAGATAAAAGTGATATTAATTGTCCTCTCAAGTACTAATATCTGAACTAATGGTTGGAGGGTAGACTGAACCACATGAATTCCAGTAAAAGATCCAAAGGGCACCTGCACCAAGAGAGTGTGAGAGGACATAAGGTGTAAAAAATGTTAAAAGGTCATGGGGGGAGGTCATGAAGGGTTTGGAATGACAGTAGATTTCATATTTAGTCCTAGAGTCTGTAGGAAACAAATGCAATTTGTTGACTAGGGGGCTGACATAGTCAGACCTGCACTTTAAAAACATCAAGTTGCTGACTGAATGGACAGTGGAGTGCAGAGGGAGAGACTGGTGGCAGGCAGACCCACCAGCACACAATCGTAATAGCGCACATGTGAAGTGAGCCCCAGGGTAGGAGCTATGTGATTGGAGAGAAAGGGACATATACAAGAGATGTTATGGAGATGGAAAACACAGGCTTGGCACCAGACTGGATAGAGGGGATTAATCTGAGGGAAGAAGAGAGGATAGCAGTAAGGCAGTGAGCCTCAGTGGTTTCCTCCTTATCCAATCTCTTTACACTTCATTTCCCTCTACTCATTCTATGAACCAGCTACAATGGCTAATACTTTTTGTCCTTGTACACAATAGTCTCCTAACTCCATGCCTTTGCGGTGGCTGTCCCCTTATGCCTGGCACGTTATCTTTCCTGTAATCTGCCTTTTAGTTTGCCTGGATTCCTTTAAAACTTAGCTCCAATGCAGACTAATTCAGAAGGCCTTGTCTGGTCCCCACTGCTGCTAGTGACTTGCCCTTTGAGATGATTGTCCCCTTTTTACTTTGTATATATCTTGTATGTTTCTCATTATCATAGATGGATGCACTTGCTTTGCACAAATCTAGAAATGGAAACCCAAATAGGCATCATGGCATATCATGATGGGATGGTGGAAACCTGGGGAGGATGTACTAGAAAAACAGATGAAATAGGGATGAGAGAGAGGAGAAGAGATGGGAGAGGAGAGGATGGGAGAGAATTTTTTCTGTGCAAGGTGCCCAAATCCTCAGTCCCTGGTCAGAGAGGAAAAGATGGTGGGCTCTGGTGGTGTCTTTGTGTGATCAGTTTTCCTCTCATTCAAGGTTCTTCTGTTCAGCTGAGCATAGGTAATTCCCTGGGGGTCTTCAGCCATGGGGACCTGAAGGAGAAATACAAGGTTAAAGGAACAGTGAGTGACTGGAGCAGGAGTTCTTAATGTGTTGGCATGTTGTAAATGCTTTGACAGCTCATCTGGTGAAAGCTGTAGATGGCTTCTCATTCTTATTCCATTAATTACATGAAACAAACTCCATACAATTTCAAAGGCAATAAATGATATTAAAGTACAATGATTGAAATATTTAATGAATTATCCCGTCAAGTTAAGGGGTCCTCAGTCCAGTAGCTTCACATTGGATGACTAGAAGAAGAAATTAGTAAGTGACTCAGAAGTGGTGCAACTGTGGGCCTAGAGCCTGTTGGGAAAGGTTGGGATTAAGGATGAAACTGGGTCCTCCAGGTGGAGGACAGAATGAGCTGACTCACCAATGGTTCTCTTGTTCTCTTCTTGGCCACTTCTGTATCTGAGACAGATGGAAAGATCCATTATTCTCACAGCTTCCAAGGAATAGGACTTCCCTCCACAATTCCATCCTCCTGACCCATTATCACACTCCCTTGCTGCCCAGATCACCTACACAGGGTCTCCTCTATGGGGACCTCAGGATGATGTGGCAGGCAGGTACTCCAAGAAAGACAAGGACAACAAAGACCCCTGTGACAAGGAGAGAGGGAGAAAACAGGACAGTAGGAGAGAATCCACCCTGGGAGGCTCTGTGATCAGCCTCTACTCACCATGGACTCTGTGCAGTGCAGAGGGTCTAGGGTTGCATGGCAAGGAAGTGACAGGGGATTATGGGAAAAGGAGATGAGTTTCCTTACCTCCTAAGGCTTTCTCCTTGTAAAGACCCTGGTGAGAGAGACATGGTAAGGAAAGAAGCCAGTCAGGGAAGGTCTCAAAGGAGGAAATAGAGGTCCCAGTCCTTATCCATTTCTATTGCTAAAGACACTAAGGTGTACAACTCTTTCTCACCCATAGGAATGGATCCTTGGCAGAGCATTGCCAGCAAGAGAAGGCAGAGGAGGAAAGAAACACAGCTGAGGGTGATAATGAGGGTATTACTGGGCTCTGAACCTGGGGTGATGGAGAGAGAAAAATCTTCATAAGTCACTATCTTTAATGGACCCTCACCTTGCCCCTGAAATTGCCTACTTTTTTCTCCTCACCTCCCTTCAGAGCCACCCATCATGACTAGCATTCCAGAGTTTGGCACAAATGCTGCTCAGAGTGGGCTTATCCCTTGGAAAGAGGTTCAGAAATCCCAGAAACCAGGGTAGAGATGTGTGGGTCACAGGGAAGTGTTGCAGGAAGCCCCATGTCCCAGCTCAACACTCTTGGTCTCTATGATCCTGGAACTGAGGAAAATGTCAAGGCTACTGTCGTAGCTTATCGCGTGTGTCTTGACCAGAGTCATGGCCTTGACTTCATTTCCTTGTAGAAGCTGAACGAGGGAGTGGTCATTGGTACCCTCTAGCCGGGCCTGTGGATTTCTGCCTCTCACCTGTCACATTCAGCTGCAGTGGGTCACTGTGTTGTGTCCTGAGACTTCCATTGATGAGAAGCTGGTAGCCACAGCTATAGTTTCCAGAGTCCTTGGAAGTCACACGAGTCAGGAAGAACTGGGCTCCATCTTGATCGATAGCCATGCTCTGTAAGATGTTCTCATGGCCCTCCTTGTACAGGACAATCCTAGTGGTCCATGAGGGTCCCCAGCAGAGGAGTGTCACATTGGCTCCTGAGGCCACCTCTGGGCCAGGCAAGGCTGAGATGGAAGGCTTGGGAAGTGCATCTGGAAACACAAAGAGAGGCCAGAGATCCTCAACCGCCCTTCACAGTTATAATGGGGGTGGATAGAAATAAGGGCTGAGAGGTCCCTGAAAAACTCCTTGACCATCAGCTCTCCTTCCTTTGGTTCTTTGATGATTCCTTGCCCAACTTCTCCTTCCCTGGAGAGGCATGGATGCTAAACCTGAGATGTTCTCTGGGCCCACCTAGAAACAGGGATGCATTTCTTCCTTCTGTCTTTGGATTTTGAGCTTGGAGCAGTACCTGAGCTGGTCCATCTTTCCCCCTTTGCCCTCCTCTTCCTTAGGGATGCCCAGAACTTGTCCCAACCTCTACCTCATGATATTAAAAGAGCCAAAACCAAAATTACTTTTCTGGATTCCTGGCCTGCCTCTCAGGTAGAGTCCCAAACCTCTACCTATGCCTTGGGTATCTGGACACACCTTCACCTGTCACCCAAATCTCTAGGACCTCACTGTGCTCAAACACCTGGTATGCTGCCATCCTCCTATGGTAGACACAGCTGTAGTTGCCAGCATCCTGGACCCTCACAGAGATTTGGGGAAAGTCAGCTGAGGCTTCAGCTGGGCTCTGGCTCTGCAGGGCCTGAGGGATCCCCACCTTCAGCAAAATGAATGTCACACCATTGAGGAATGTCTGAGGGGGCTGTCAGCATTGGAGAGTCACATGCATCCTGACCTCCACCATGAGGCCTGGGATGGCTTAGAGGGGAAGGCTTGGGGGAGAAACCCCATAAGAGGAAGAACATAGTGCTGGGGTCAGGACACTTGGGTCAAATCCCTACTCAGACTCTGAGTCCCTTTGTGATCATGGGCCATTCACTTCCTGTCTGAGTGTTGGTTTTATTGTTCAGTTGTTTTTCAGCCATGTCCAACTCTTGATGACTCCATTTGGAGTTTTCTTGGCAAAGATACTGGAGTGGTTTGCCCTGCCCTTCTCTAGCTCATTTTACACATGAGGAAAGTGAGGTAAACTAGTTTAAGTGACTTTCTCAGGGTCACAGGGATAATAACTGGCTGATACCAGAACTGAACTCATGAAGATCAGTCTACCTAACTCTAAGTTCAGCATTCTATCCACTGAGCCATGTAACCTGCCTATGGACCTCAATAATCACATCTGCAAATAAGAGTTTTGGCCAGAAAATCACTCATGCATTTCTAGCTGTTGATAACCAGGAATTCTGAGGAGTCTTTCATATTTGAGGGAGCTCATCTAATCTATTGTCTTGCGTACCTGATGACTTATGGGAGAGAAGGTCATGACCCCTTACTTTTCAGCAGGGCTATGACAGACAGAACCAGGGCTCAGCTAAAACCAGGGCTCAGATCATGGTCCCAGAGTGAGAAGGCTCAGACTCATTTCCAGGCTTGATCTTTCATTTGTCATGTGACATTGAACAAGTCCTTTCTTTCTGTGTTTCACTTTGCTGATTAGTAATGGAAGGGTTTGGCCTCGAGAATCTCTAAGGCCTCTTTCAGCTCTGGGTCTCTGTAACTTTTCTCCTAACCCCCAACTCAGTCCTCACCATCACCTTTCTTCCCCGGATTCTAGATCAGAATAGAAATGCCTTATGTCTTCCAAGACCCCAGAGCCCTGCCAGGCCCTAGGGCAGAGCTGGCTATATAGATGCCAGGCCTTGTCTTTGTGAGGCCCCACTGCGGACAGAGAGCCAAGAGGTCAAAATCAGAGTTATTCTGGGGCCCACACACACCCCTCACCTGGCACCACCAGCTCCAGGGCATCACTGTTCTTTGATCTTCTAGTAAGCATTGTCCTTTCTCTGTAGGTACAGCTATAGCACCCAGTATCCTCAGGTCTCACAGATGGGAGCAGGAAGCTAGTCCAGAGATCTACTGAGGTCTGCTGCTGTAAAGGCATCTGGGTCCCAGCCTTCCACAGAGTGAAAGTCACATCTTTAAGGGAAGACAGCTTGGGCCTTGAGCACTGGAGAGTGACGTTGGCCCCTGGGGCCACCACGAGGCTAGGTTTGGCCCAGAGGGTGGGCTTGGGGAGTAGTCCTGGGGAGAAAGTTGTGGCAGTGGTCAGGGTCAGATGTCATTTCTAGGACCCCTCCCCTAAACTCCTAGTGACAGGGGAAATTGGAGCCTTGCCTCTGTTCTCACTTTCTTGTCTGGGGCCTATTTTGAGCTAGAACACTGCCACTATCTTGGGGCCCCAAGCTGAGTCCATGTAGAATGGGAGAGGACCCAAGGGTCTCCTCCAGCCTCCCCCTAAACCAATTCTTCAGAATTCCCAGGATTTTATGTTGTCCTTATAACTCTGTGGGCCCCTATCTGGGGGATAGAATTGGGGCTTTGGGGGAATCCCATCTCCAGTCACCAGGCACAATCAGCTCCAGAGTCTCACTGAGATGTGACCCCCTGTGGGGGGCTGTCTTCCTGTGGTAAATACAGCTGTAGCTCCCTGCATCCTCAGGCCTCACAGACAGAAATGAGAAATTAGCTTGGGTCCCTGGAGGGCTCTGTCGCTGGAAGGGCTCCAGGCTCATTGCGTCCAGTAGAGCAAAACTGTAGTCCTGAGAGGGAGCCTGTGGTGATATTTGGCATCTGATGGTCACTGTTGTCCCTGGGAGTATTACAGAGCTATGTGAGGCTGAAATGGAGGGTTTGGGGAGGGCTCCTGTGTAAGGAGGAAGGAAGAAAGTTAGAGACCTGATCTGTCACCCTGCTCCCCTGAAATCATTCCATGAAATAGACCTGGGACAGGGGAGGGTGGGCTGAGGGGCTCTGGCTAGGTCCCTTTGTCCAGTTCAGTAGGCCTGTTCATGGCTGATTAACTGGGCCCCCTGGGTCACCCTCAGAAAGACGATGGGAGGAGAAAGGAGATAGGAAGGGGAGGTCAGAAACTTCTGCTGGTAAGAGAATAGAGTAAGGAAGGAATGCTTATAAGACCTCCAAAATTCCTTTAAACAACTAGAAAACCATGTCAGAACTGGTTTAGCAGCAGGGAAGGAGGTGACCAACCTGTCAGGAAAGGTCTGTTTCTCTGGGCTGGGAGGGGAACAAGGTCCAAGAGCAGCAGCAGCAGCCAGCCTCACAACATGGGGCTTACAGCAAGGCTTTAAACCTGTGGCAATCCACCAGTAAGCCCCTGCTCTCCTGAACACCAGGAGACCCCTAGACAAGTGAGCAGTCTGTGTAGTTCCACAAGGTCCCATCCCAGCGATCCCACCCCCAGCACAAGCCAAGAGCAAAACGCTTGACCCCCATTGCTGACCAGTGGTGAAGCTCTGCCCTGGGGCTGATCAACAGTGAGACCCTACCTCTGAGACCCTGTTTCCATAGCAACCCCTCAGGCAGATCAAAAACAAAATTTCTCCTCCAGGGCCTGCAAGTAGAGAGGTCTTGTTTCCATAACAACCCAGCAGCAAGGCCCCACACCTGGACCAGGCCAGTAGCTAAACTCCACACCTAAGAGAGGCCAACAAGGAGGCCCCATTCCCCCAGTACAAGTCAGAAGGGAAGCCTTTCAGAGAAAAGAAGCAGAAAGCCCTGAAACTCAGTGAAAGCCCCAGTACAGAAAGCTTGGGAAAGTAAAGGGCCAGGGCCCAATTCTCACACAAAGACGCCAAGTCACAAAAAAGATAAAAAAATGAGGAAAAACCCCCAAAATACAGAAAGGAGTTCATTATAGAAAATAACTATGGTGATAGGGAGTAATGACGCATAAATTTAAAAGACAATAACATCAAAATGGCTACATATGAAGTTTCTGAAAAATGTAATTTGACTTCAGGCCCAAAAATAATTCCTGTAAGAGCTTAAAAAGGATTTAAAAAAGCAAATTAAAGAACTAGGAGAAAAAATGGAGAAAAAAATGAGAATAATGCAAGAGAGTCAATAGCATGGGAAAAGATATATAAAAAATTCCTGAAGAAAATAACTCCCCCCAAAATAGAATTGGCCAAGTAGAAAAAGGAGTACAAAAGCTCACTGAAGAAAATGATTCCTTAAAAATTAGAATGGAATAAGTGGAAACTAATGACTCTATGAGACATCAAAATATGACAAAACAAAATTTAAAAAGTTAAAAAAATAGAAAAAAATGTGAAATTTCTCATTGGAAAAAACAATTGATCTACAAAATCGATCCAGGAGAGATAATATAAGAATAATTGGAGTACCTGAAAGCCATGATGCAAAATGACTGGAAAATGTCTTTCAAGAAATTATAAAACAAACAAACAAACAAAAAAACTTCCCTGATATGTTAAAGCCAGGGGACAAAACAGAAATTGAAATAACCTGCCAATCACCACCTAAAAGAGATCCCAAAATATAAACTCCCAGGAACACCATAGCCAAATCCCAGAGCTCACAAATCAATAAGAAATATTGCAAGTAGCTCAAAAGAAACTTCAAATATCATATAGCTACAGCCAGAATTACACAGTATTTGGCAGCTTCCACATTAAAGAACTGGAGGGTTTGGAATATAATATGCCAGAAGGCAAAGGAGTTAGGATTACAACCATGAATCACCTACCCAGAAAAATTGAATACAATCTTTCAGGGGAAAAACTTGGATATTTAATGAAATAGAGTGCTTTTAAGCATTTCTAATTAAAAGACCAGAGCTGAATAAAAATGTGACCTCCCAAAGCCCAACAGCAAGAGATAGAAAGAGAAATCCCATTTAAACTTACTGTAGACATTATAAAATATTTAGGAGTCTACCTCCTGAAACAAACCCAGGAACTCTATGAACACAATTACAAAACACTTTTCACACAAATAAAATCAGATCTAAATAATTGGAAAAACAGCAGTTGCTCATGGGTAGGCCGAGCTAATATAATAAAAATGACAATCCTACCTAAGCCAATTTATTTATTCAGTGCCATGCCAATCAAACTACCAAAAAATTATTTTATAGAGTTAGAAAAAATAATAACAATATTCATTTGAAAAAACAAAAGGTCCAGAATATCAAAGAAACTAATGAAAAGAAATGCAGGGGAAGGTGGCCTAGCAATTCCAGATCTTAAATTGTATTATAAAGCAGCAATCATCAAAACTGTTTGGTACTGGCTAAGAAATAGGGAGGTGGATCAGTGGAATAGGTTAAATATGCAAGACACAGTAGTCAATGACTATAGTAATCTATTATTTGATAAACCCAAAGACCCCAGCTTCTGGGATAAGAACCTACTCTTTGAAAAAAACTGCTGGGAAAACTGGAAAAGAGTATGGCAGAAACTAGGCATAGACCCAAATCTCACACCATATACCAAAATAAAGTCAAAATGTGTTCAGGACTTAGATATAAAGGCTGATACCATAAGTAAACTGGGAGAACAAGGAATAGTTTACCTATCAGATCTATGGAGAATAGAAGAATTCATGACCAAACAGGAGATAGAGAGCATTATGAAAAGCAAAATGGATAACTTTGATTACATTAAATTGAAAAGTTTTTGCACAAACAAAGCCAATGCAACTAAGATTAGAAGGAAGGTAGAAAATTGGGAAAGAATTTTTACAACCAGTCTCTCTGATAAAGGCCACATTTCTAAAATATATAGAGAATTAAGACAAATTTATAAGAACACCAGCCATTCCTCAATTGATAAAAGGTCAAAGGATATGAACAGACAGTTCTCAGATGAAGAAATTAAAGCCATCTATAGTCATATGAAAAAATGCTCTAAATCATTATTGATTAGAGAAATGCAAATCAAAACAGCTCTGAGGTACCACATCACACCTATCAGATTGGCCAACACGACAAAACAGGAAAATAATAAATGTTGGAGAGGATGTGGGAAAATTGGAACACTAATACATTGCTGGTGGAGTTGCAAAATGATCCAACCATTTTGGAGAACAATTTGGAACTATGCCCAAAGGGCTACAAAAATGTGCATACCCTTTGATCCAGCAATAGCACTTCTAGGGCTATATCCCAAAGAGATCAAACAAATGGGAAAAGGACCCACATGTACAAAAATATTCATAGCAGCTCTTTTTGTGGTGGCAAAGAATTAGAAATTGATAGGATGCCCATCAATTGGGGAATGGCTGAGCAAGTAGTGGTATATGAATGTAATGGAATACTATTGTGCTGTAAGAAATGATGAACAGGCTGACTTCAGAAAAACCTAGAAAGACTTATATGGTCTGATGCTGAGTGAAGTGAGCAGAACCAAGAGGACTTTGTACACAATAACAGCCACGTTATGCAATGACTAAGATTGTTAAACTGAATGTTTCTCAGCATTATGAGGATCTAAGACATTTCCAGAGGCCTCGGGATGGATAATGCTGTTCATATTCAAAGAAAGAACCATGGATGTCGAATCACTATCACTTATTTTTACCTTCTGTGAGTTTTGTTTCATCTTTCCGATTGTTCCTCATATTGGTTTTAATTTTTACTTACAACTTCACTAATGTGAAAATATGTTTAATGGGTATGTAAATGTAAAGCCTATATCAGATTGTGTGCCATATTGTGGAGGGTGGGGGGGAGGAAAAGGGAGAAAAATTTTCAACTCAAAAGCATATGCAAAAAATAAAAAAATTAAAAAAAATGTGACCTCCCAATACAAGACTCAAGCGAAACACACACACACACAAAAAAGTAAAAAAAAAAAAGAAACAAGAAAGAGAAAACAAAACAAATACAATAAAGCTAAAATATTTATATTTCTATATGGCAAGATAATATTTGTAACTCTTAACTTTATTACTATAAGAGCAATTAGGAGGTGTATATGTAGACAGAGGGTGTGGATATAAGGTGACTTTGATGGGATGATACAAAAAAATAAAAACATAATTAAAGGTTGATGAAGAAAATTGCACTGGAAGAAGAAGGTGGAGGGGAGAGATTTAATGAGGTAAATTATTCCACATAAAAGTTGCATGAAAGAATTATTATAAAGGAGGAGAAATTAGGGGCTAGGAGTAGTGGACACAACTTCAACCTTAATCTCATCAAAATTGGCTCAAAGAAGGAATAACATACACACTTAGTTGGATGTAGAAATCTATCTAACCTTACAATGAAGTAAAAGGGATGGGCATAATAGAAAAGGGAGAGAGGATTGATAAAAGGGAGGGTATATTGGGGAAGGAAGTGATCAGAAGTAAAACACATGTGAGGAGGAAAGGGTGGGATATAAAAGAATGGTGGATAAAGAAGTGAAAAATAGCATGAAGGGAAATACAGTTATGTATAATAACTACAAATGTGAATGGGATGAACTCACTCATAAAATGGAAGGGTATAGCAGAATGGATTAAAAACCATAATGTTACAATATCTTATTTACAAGAAACACATTTAAAGCAAAAAGATAAACACACAGTAAAGGTAAAGGGCTGGAGAAGAATCTGCTATGCTTCAGCTGAAGCAAAGAAAGTAGGGGTAGAAATCATGAACTCAGACAAAACAAAAGCAAAAATAAATCTAATTATAAGACATAAACAAGGAAATGATACTTTGCTGAAAGACACCATAGACAATAAAGTCAAATCAATACTAAACATACATGCACCAAATGGTACAGCATCTAAATTTTTTGAAGAAGTCGAATGAATTACAGGAGGAAATAGATAATAAAACCCTACTAGTAGGAGACCTCAATTGTCCCCACTCAAAACTACATAAATCTA